TTTGTTATTTATTTCATTTGCGATATTAGGGGTAAATATGTATTGAAATCCATTTAGAGCAAGATCTGCAAAGAAATGAATGCGGAAGAATCTAAATTCTCAGAAGAGATATGCAATTATCTGATTATAATCAGTAGAATTTGCTTTGAGTTAATCCATATTATGTAAAAAGTGGCTAAAAGTATAAAACACTGCTAATTAATTATCCTTTCCTTGATTTGTAGTAGTTGAATGAAATGATCATAAGGTAATTTCATGACAAAGAAGCACTTAAAAGTCTATCATGCCTGAAATCTGTTTGAATGTTTAGTCATAAGAGTACAAGATCTCAAAATATATGTTATAGAATGTGTCCGCGGTCAAAAAAGGGTTGGAGTAATTCCTATACATTTTGTGTTCATTAAATAATCTTGTACAAATGATTAGGTAAAGTTTTTTAAGTCTTTTGCCATTAGTTGATCCATTAGCATTTAAATTATTTAAATAAGTTTGCTAGGAATTCTTTGCTATAAAGTAGTCGTTTGGTGTGGAAAAGGTAATATATCCATTTTTATTACGTAAATATAATAAAAGTAAGCAGTTAACTGCAAATTATATTACTAAGTGTTTTTGTAATTTAAAAAAAGTTATCTGATAATGAGCGACTCTGACGATGACAATTTTGAATATGCCAATTTATCAGACAGTTTTCAGCGATGAGAGTGATGATTTCTTGAGTGATGGAAGTGAATCGGAAGATAATGACAACGAGATTTTGGATATATAGCAAGGAATTGGTATCAAATTAGTATAAATCAACCAAACGTTGCACCACCGAGATTTCGATTTGAAGCTAACCCTGGCTGTTGTTTTACTCTTGACGGATTACGATGATGCTTTTGTCATACTTTGAATTATTTTTTGATAACTCTCTCATGGACATAATTCTAACTGAAACAAACGGATATGCATTTCAACATCCAGGATCATCACAGAACCTATGGTCACCGATTACTATGGAAGAATTATACATATTTTTAGCCATAACTATACTACAAGGTATAATTAGAAAGCCTGAGATAAGGATGTATTGGTCAAAAGTTGAAATTTTTCAATCACCTATTTTTCCGAAGCTCCTTAGCTTTCGTCGCTATTCTGAGATAAAAAGATATCTTCACTTCTCTAACAATGAAACTTACGATGCTGAGATTCACCCCCATCCCAAGCTCAATAAGATATGGCCTGTATTTGACCATATAAATAAAAAGTGTTCTTCTCTATATACACCGGAAAGAGATATCAGGATAGACGAAAGTCTACTACTGTATAAAGGGCGAATGAAATGGAAGCAATATATACCACTGAAACGAGCTCGTTTCGGAATAAAGATGTACCTTCTTTGTGAATCAAAAACCGGTTACTTATATTCATCCATTATATATACCGGAAAAGGAACGAATCTGAGCGATGCATATCGAGAAATGCCGGTATCAACTCAAGTAGTGTTGTCACTGATTGAACCGTTATTAGATAAAGGGTACTGTTTGACGACTGACAACTTTTATACTTCTCCACAATTAGCGGATTTCCTGGTAAAACGTCAAACAGATACCTACGGGACTCTGAAAAGTACCAGAAAAGAAGTTCCATCTGAAATTAGAAATAAAAAATTGAAAAAGGGAGATGTTATAGCGTTTCAGAGAGGAAAAGTAATGGCGATGAAGTGGAAAGACAAAAAAGATGTCTGTTTGCTTTCAACAATCCATAACACACATCAGGAAAATACAAGTAAAACAGCCAATGAATGGTACTCAAATAAAGAAACCCAAAAGTTGTAATTGATTACAACGATACAATGGGAGGCATTGATCGGCTTGATCAGCATCTCCACGATTACCCAACAACAAGAAAACGAGGAAAAAAGTACTATAAGAAAATATTTTTCCATCTTGTGGATATATCCGTATGGAATTCATTTGTACTATATAAAAAAAATAATAATAAAAGGGGGGGAGGAAAACGGGACCATTTGGAATTCCGTAAAATGCTTGTGGAAAAATTAATTGAAAAATACCATTCAAAAGTGTTACCCAAAAGAACAGGTCGGCCTGGTTACCAACCAACCTGGGCCTTTGAGACTAACTGAAAGGCACTTTTCCCGAATTTGTACCACCTGACAGAAAAGAAAGCGCAGCCCCTTGTAGAAATTGCGTTGCCGTTTGTCGCAGTAAAAGAGATGAGAGGAGTAAAAAAGATAAGGAAAGAAACAAGATACTATTGTAAGGAACTGTAATATTGGACTTTGCGCAGTTACCATGCTTCATGGTATAATATCATACCAAACTGAATTTTTAGTCAATTTTATGTTTGCAAGTATGACAATTTGATTTAATTTGATTTTAATAACTTGAAATTCAAAATAAACATGTAATCAAATCGTTTTCACTTTGTTTGTATAATATATATATATTTTTTTAAATTAGCCTATACTTGTACCCCTGTATGTTGTCTTTTCTAATACAAAGGAGCATAACAAAAGACAACTTTAAGTTAAATTATTCCAAAATTAAAAATAAGATTTTTTAATTAAATTTTTAGTTAAAAATTACTTTTATTTGTCGATCATGTCTTAAAATGCACTAGAGAATATGATTATGCAAGAAAAAAAATAGGTGATTTTTCAACCGAAAATTAGAAATTAATGTGTGCCTTAAGGGGTTAAAGTACTGATTCTACTGAAAATGTATTGTTTACAAGATAAATAAATAGCTCTTGCATGCTTCGCCACTTTATAAAATTTTTAAAGATTTTATTTTTATTTCTGTTATTGGTTGTCATATATCTGCATACTTTTGCAGCCCAATGATTTATTTACTGTATGAAATTTATTAATAAATTCTCTTAGAATAATTTAAGTTTTCACTATTCATAAATTGTTATTGTAATCACTAGCAATTCAAAAATGCTCAATAACAAAATACAGTAGCATTTTCAAAAACACTAAGATTTACACTTATATGAATTTAAGAATTTTAAAGCACTTATTATATTTTTGTGGCATTTTTAATCATTTATTTAGAGAAATACCAGCACACTCTGATTTGTCAGCAGATATACTGAATTATGATTTTCCTTTGTAATAATCAAGTGCGATTGTTATTCCTATTATGTTCTCTATCTGTATATGATGTTACTATCTATATTTGACTGAATCTGTAACTGCATATTTCATGCTGAAACTTTTAGTTCTTTTGCACATATTGTTGTGATACATCCTAATAAACACATTATATGTCGATGTTTTGTAAAATGATGTTGCTAACTGTACTGTATGTGTACCATCAACTGGAGAACTTTACACTAATAATTTAGTAGTGAAATACTGCAACAGAATATGCAGATAAAAAACTGATTGATAAATTACTTGTGTAACTAGCAAGGATGAAGTAGTGACAAGATTAAGAGCATTTTAAATTTATATACTGTTTTTAATTCATCATATTTTAATTTATAAACTATTTAGAGATTATTTTATATACAATATATTTACATGATGAGATATCAATATACATGATCAAAAGAATCATGAATTATAAGAGTTTCATTATTTCCAATGGCATCTATAGCAGCTTTCTTGTATGAAGTTGTTGCAATATTTTCAGTACTGCATGGACTTTTTCTTTTCTTTCTCGTAGAAAAGAAATTCTTTTGTTTCTCTGCTTTTTTATTTGTAGGTTCATAGTTCACCATTTTCAATTTCGGCTTTTCGTTCTTTAATTTTGTAATCACTTTATTCAGTGTGTTTTCAATATCTCCCAAAGTTATATTACAGTCAAAAGTCGTTAATCCGGACTCGTCGGGACTTCAGCGATTCCGGATTATAGATCATCAGTTTAAATCTGGTAAGATAGCATGCAGAAATTAAAATTAAAAATATGAAACCGTAATTTATGAAATAAAGAACAATTATGATCTAAAGGGTATCAAAATTTACAAAAAGAAAAAGCTTAATATTTATTTGTTTACTTTATTAAACATTTCTTTCAATGTAAGTTGTTTAAGTTGCTTCATTTCATGTGATAATACTTTCTCTTTAATTCTATTAAACAGACATAATTACTTGGTTTAGTTACCAAGTTCCGCTGTTCAAGTCCTATAATTGCTGTGTCGAGAATACCGACTAATTTGTCAATCGAAATTTTTTCGTTTTCAATAACCTCTGTCACTTTCTTCACTATCGGAAGCGAATTATAATGACGAGGAACTCGTTTTAAATCATATCAAAGACGGAGCACATCGAGATGAAATACTACATTTGGTAAGGAATTATAAGCCAAATAAAATAAAAACATCTGCCCTGAAGATAAGGATAGTACTGACAGATCAACTTCCATTCATTGAGCGCGGCAGCGTTCCCCCCCCCGCCGAGCAGCGAGAAATTGATAAACAGATTTCGAATTTCGAAACATACTTTCGCTTTAGATCCTTTACATATTAACAAATATATATCGGAAATTCTATTTGATATAATCGAAAGTTTAAGCTTACTTTTATAAAATTGCTCTAACAGTCTGCAAAAAATAATAAGCCGGATCCAATTCGAAGATTAAGGAACAACGCAATCTGCAACATTAACTGAATTAGATAATTTTAGCTTAGCTTACACCGTCCGTTATACATTAAACGCGCATGCGTAAACGTGTTATGAGCATGCGCACAAGCATAATCGCAGCCGTAAAGGTCTTACGCGCGCACGTGAACGCCTATGCGCATGCGTCACTGTGACGCATGCGCAGAAAGTTTGTAGCTTTGAGGTCCGGATTATGGATAATTTCGGATTATGGGTGTCCGAATTAACGACTTTTGACTGTATTTACTGTTGTTGATGTTACAAGTTTTGATATGATACTCAGTTGATCTATAATATGGTGCTTGGTTCCTGATTTTTTAAATTTTTGTGCTGATAGATCGAGAAAGGATTTTACATCATTTGATTCTTTAGTTTTAGCTGGCTGTTCTTATTAGGTAATCTTGTCTTTAAAATTATTGCATGTATATATTTACAGCACTTCCTTTAATCGTGGCATCTGTGCATGTGCATACAAATGCATCGTTTCAAATTTTGCACCATTTACAAACAATGTTACAATTAATGCATTGTGTATGTATTTGAGTAACAGTATATTCAAGAGTAGGGTCACTTTCTGAAATCACATGCCAAGAAAACTCATTGATTTCTGTGATATTATTAGCTGGAAAATTTATTGCTCTGTTGTGTCATAAATTTGTTTGGTTGATCTTTGATGTGTTTGTCCCTTTTGTTTGTTTTGATAAATCTCTGGAACCATTTATCTTGCACCATATTAATAAGCTTCGCAATGCACCTATCAACCCTCTGGTTTTTTTTTCAATCCATCAAGATAAGAATATTTTAAAACTCGATGCAGTGCTTCAAGATGATTGTTAGTTGTGATGTTACATCTTTTTCTATAGCATTTAGCGAAGAACTCCCATCTGTTTGCATAATTTGAGGCAAAGTAATTAGCAAACTTTTCTGTATCTCTATCAGCAAAGAGTTTGCTGAGGAAATCAGATATATCAGTGCTTCAAATTCTTTTATATCATGACATTCAGATACTACATTTAAAAATTTCAAAACTTCCTTTCGCTTTGAGGGGATAATTGAATTTGCTGCTTGCAGCCATGCCTTTTTTTTAATGTGCCAAGTGCATAGAATTCTAAATTTGGCATCACACATTACTGATGTCCATGTAGTATAATATACTGGTGCATCATCACTCATAAAGCAGTTTACATACAGCAGTCCAACTTTGTCCCTAATACACTGAAAAAATTTTTGCATTGAACCTAAATTTACTCTATTGCTTAGGCAAAAAGCAGCAGGAAATCCTGAATTAAACTTGTCTATGACTAAAACTGTTGATAATTGAAAATCGTAAGCATTAGTCCCATGTGTGCTATCGATGCATATGCTATCGGATCCAAACTTTAAAAGCATATGCTTTTGAACATTTGTCATTATGATGATGCAGAAAGTCACTAATTTCCAAGTGCTGATCTGCTGCTTCTCCTTGGAATTTTACAAAAAGAACTGGATTATCATCTAAACATTTCATTTTTTTCTATCCAGATCCTTAAACTGACAGCATCAGTTTGGATGATATTGTTCATCATTACCAATACAGTAAGAATTAGAAATGTTATGTATGTCTTTTTTTGTCAATAAATGCTCCCTGTAAATGTCTTTTTTAATACTATTCCTTGTGGAATCTAATATTTTTTTCTGTGGTGGAATGCCTTCATTTAACTTTACCTGAAAATATTGCATTTATATGATAATGTTGTATAATAATGTCTGTTTTATATTGAATTTCACAATCAAGTTCATAAAGAAACTTACCTGCAATCACTTCTCGCAAATCTTTTGTTAATGGCAAATGTTCTAGATCTACTGTGTGTCCCATGTGTGTTTGGAAATATAAAATCTTAATAATGCCATTACTGGTAACTTCAATAGTAGATGGACAGTGCCCCTCTATTTTGCAGGTACCTTGTGATTTTATAGCTCTTACACCTTTAATTTTAGAATTATAAAATCCAGATCGATTACAAAGGAAGTAACTCTTTTTCCCACCTTCTTTAAGAGTTATTGTACTTCTCAAAAAATAAGAAATTTTTTCCCTTCGTTCTTCCTCACTTTTCCATTGTAAGAAATCTAAATTTGAAGGGTAAACAAATAAAAATATACAATATAAAAGCCCATTATAATTGTGAACTAGTGAATCTTTAAAACAAAATTACTAATTTAAAACTAACC